TTGGTCACTGCGAATGCCTCTGAGACAGCTCCGTTGTCCGTGACTCGCGCCATCATACCGTCGTGCAGCTGACGCACCATCTGAGTGAATCGCTACGGACAGCCGAATTTCTGCAGGATCTTCCACAGTCCTTCACGATTCACCGTGTCGAAGGCTTTCGTCAGGTCCACGAAGGTAGAGTAGAGGTGGGTCCGCATCTCATGGCACTTCTCCTGAAGTTGGCGGGCGGCGAAGATCATATCCGTGGTCCCACGATGACGACGGAAGCCGCATTGGCTTTCCGGCAGAAGGCCCTGTTCCAGATGGCTATTGAGGCGGTTGAGCAGGATGCGAGCGAAGATCTTCCCGGCGATGTTCAGCAGGGAGATGCCGCGGTGGTTGTCGCAGACTTGGCGATTCCCTTTGCGCTTGTATAGGTGCACGATAGTTGCGTCCTTGAAATCTTGCGGGACTTCACCTTGACGCCACATCTCCTGGAAGAGCGCAGTCAGGTGATCCATCAGTAGGGGACCTCCGTGCTTGTAGACCTCAGCAGGGATTGCGTCCGATCCGGGTGCTTTTCCGCTGGAGAGCTGCTGCACGGCCCTGATCGTTTCCTGGAGAGATGGTGGGAGGTCGAGGTCCGCGTTGGTCGCCATTTGCGGCAAGCGGGCGATGGCGGCGTCGGAGATGACGGAAGGGCGGTTGAAGACGCCTCGGAAGTGCTCGGCCCATCGCTGCAGGATTTGCGTCTTCTCAGTCAGGAGAGTGCTGCCGTCGGCGCTGAGGAGAGGAGCAGTGCCCTTCGTCGGCGGACCGTAGACAGCTTTGATCGCAGAGAAGAAGTTCTTCCATTCGCTACGGTCCGCGTAGCCTTCGATCTCCTCAGCTTTGCGAGCAGTCCAGGCGTCCTGCATCTCGCGCAGTCGTTGCTGAAGCTGTCGGCGACTGCGGTAGAAGGCAGCTTTGGTGGCATCAGTGGGGTGATCTACGTAGGCTTTGTGTAGGCGGTTCTTCTCAACAAGCAGATTTCTGATGGCGGCGTCGTTGTCGTCGAACTAGTCCTGGTGTTGGCGGGGAGCGCGACCGAGGACGGCGAGCGCCGTCGACTGGACCGTGTCTCGCAGTTGACACCAGCGGTTCTCCACGGAGGCGTTCTCGGCAGCGGCGGCGGCGTCGGCGGCGGCGGCAGCGATAGGAAAATTGTCTAGCCGTTGAGCTAGCTCATTGCTGAAATGGAGACGGTGAGCAGACAAAGACAACAAGGCAACATTCAGCTTACCTGGGGGTCGCTTACCTTGTGGTCTACTGCGAGGCTGTAGGCGAATACGCATATTCGAGATGACGAGGCGATGGTCGGTCCACCCGTCAGCACCCGCGATCGCCTTCGTCACCAGCACGTCCCGCTGATCTCGCCTCCGGACGAGGACATAGTCCAGCAGGTGCCACTGACGCGACCGAGGATGCCTCCGGGTGGCCTTCTCTCGCACCGGCAGACAGAAGAAGGTATCCGTCAGGGTGAGGCGGTGTTCTGCGCAGGTGCGGAGGAGAAGCAGGCCGTTGTCGTTGGAGCCGCGGAGACCGTGGGGACCCAGCACTCCCCTCCAGGCAGTA